AAATAAAGAATTCACCATAATTCATTTGTCCAACTCTATAGTTGGACAGTTAGTTTGTTCTTATTTCTGTTTATTGTAACTAGTGCTATGGAACCCGTCTGCGTGGTTACTGCTTTGTATGTGTCTGTGGTTATTAACCTAGGACATAATCTTACAAGTGGAATTGCTGTGTATAAAAGTATGTCCAGTTTTAAAGCTTTTGATATGCATTTCTAATTGCCTTCCAGAAAGTTATTTCTTCTGTTCTTATAGGAGATCTCCAATCATATACTATCCTGGTTTGTTCCTTCATGTATGTTTTTATCCTCAAGCCTACCCTAGATCTTTCAGGGCTTTTCTTTACTTAGGAGATGAGAACTAGCTTACTCTAATTTTGTTTCCTTCCCTTTCAGTCCAGAAATTCTTTTTGTCTATTCCTACTTCCTTCCTTCCCTTCTGTCTTAAATAAGAATTGTTCTTTCTCTGAAATACTACTCAGCAGTAAAAATGATGTATTCTGATTCAGCAGCAGAAAGAACATATTTGTGATTCCCTTTTTGTGAAATTCTATAGCAGGCAAAATTTATGGATAATAAAGCAGATCAGATGTCACCTTGGGCTGGAAGTGAAGGTGAGATTGGTTGCAGAGGGAGACGAGGTAATGTTTTGGGTCATGGAATTGTCATTCATGGCTGGGTACATTGACACAACTCTGCAGCATATACTTAACATGGATGTATTTATTGCACGTAAGTTATTTCTCAGTAACATTGATTTGGACATGTTCAAAACATATTAGAGAAGCCATTTCCGTGCTGCTAGGAATGATGAGTAGAGTGGGAACCTGTGAGAGGGACCACCCCTCGACAGGAGCCACCGTCTCCAGGTGGGAAGGTGGAGGGTGCCGGCCCTGATCACAGCACTTCCTGGAGAGTTGTGTGGGATGCCATGAACTTCTTAACTCTCGTTCAGGCCATGCTTGTGACTGTTGTACCACGAGAAGTGTGACTCTTTCTTTGTGACTATCCTTTTTTCAAGGTGACTCTGCTGTTGGTGTTCTGTGTTCTGTCATGCAGACCATGTTAAGTCGCCCTGGTGGGGCCCGGAGCTCTCTTCTCATTTCTGTGCTAGAAGAGGGGACGGCTGCTCCGTTTCTGGAGACAGATTTGCCTCTGTTTCCAGCAGGAGGAGCAGTGAGCTGTGCTCCAAAAAGTTCTCAAAATTAATTTTCTAGGAGACAGAGAAAAGGAAGGAAAACTTATTCGTGAAATCACAGCTTTAAAGCTTTTTGAGGCACTTATATGGTAGATATTTTATATTGTAATAAGTTGTTACCTGACGTAACTTTTTATATCTAGGAAAATTTATATTTTTCCTTCAGTTTCTTCTCTAAGGTTGGAAGAATTATTGTATATGTGAATTTTTTTTTCATATGAGGTTTACCTTTTAAAATATGTTTATTAATGAACATTTTCAGAAAATTAATCTTATGTCACATATGTAGGAAACTTTTTACCCAAAGTTAATTTTTGTTTGAATTGATCTATGGTATTGGCCTTTTTTAGAAGTTTTAATTTTTGTTTTTAAACTAATTACGTTGTTTAATTTTATCCCCATGGTTTTTTTTTGTTGTTGTTGTTGCATATTTAATAAAACCATCTCCACTTAGATTGTGGAAATATGCACCTATATATTCTAGTTCTTTCAGTACTTTGTCCACATTTCTGAGTAACCTCGATTTATTTTTGAGTGAAGTATACAGCCAAATGAATTTTTTGTCTCAGCTCTCCAAGATTATAATCTTTGGTGGAAGAGTGCTGGGTTCTAAATCTTGATCTTCTATTCCTGGTGTGTGGTCTTTGGAAAGTCACTCTGTGCTCCAGTCTCTCTATCTGCAAAGTGAATTTATTTTAATACAAGCGCTTGGATGTGCTGACTGGTACATAGCTAACATTCCCTAAATGTTAGCTCTTAATTATTGTGTCAATACCACTTAGTGAATAATCATACCCTTTCCACTAATTTTAATGCTACCTATATCATATATTAGATTCTTAGATATTTTTGGATCCATTTCTGGATTTTTGACTTTTTACAAAGGGAAACAGTAAGATATTAGCAACTTTCAGAGAATTCAAAGAGCCCTATATTTATATGCAATAAAGGAATGCTGAAATGAACTTACAAATAATCAACTATGCTTCAATAAAAAAATAAACTATACTTCAGATTTTAAAAAATGAACTTGCAAATAGATGCAAACCCTGGTCTATGTACAAGGCAATAATTAATTGCATTCCAACCAGATATAACCAATCTGCATTTCTATAGACTAGAATCATTTACATTTTTAACAATTTTCTACAACTAACAATGTTGTAAAAGAGCTGAAAGACAATAAAAGGTGAAGTTAACTAGACAGATGATGTAGACAGGAGATGAATCATTTTTTCTCTCTTTTGTCCACGTCAATATCTTGTTCCTTTGACTTGCCTATTTTCCCCCTAGTATCTGACTGAATAAATAGTTTTATGATACAAATACTGGAGGACATCACATTCATGACTCTTATTTTTAAGAGAATAATTTTTCCTGGTTATTATTTCATTGTTAGTTTCCAGAATCTCATTAGACACTTTATTAATAAAAGAATTCTAGTGATTAAAATTGAGGAGTATTAGGTGGTCATAGATTAATATTCTTTTGGGTTTATTTCAATTAATATCCTAGAATTTAGGAGCTAGAAGGAAATTTTTAGGTCATCTCTTCCAACACTCATTTTATTTTTGTCTTTTTATCATGGAAAATTTCACACACAAACTAAGGTACAGAACTTACTGAAACTCCATCACCCAGCTTCAGCAGTTAACTATTCATTAGCATTCTATTTTGTCCCCAGCCCACCTCGTATGCCAGTTCCCCGGGTTGAAACAGAGCTTGAACATATTTCATCAGTGAACTATTTTGTGTGTGTCTCCAGAAGATAAGGAGCCTTTACATATACGTAAATTACAATTAGTACATCTAAAAAATTAACAATACAATTTTAGTATCAGATAAACAGTATTCAAAATTTCACCACTGTCTAATAATTTTTGTTTATTTCTTTGACTCAGGATACAGGTGGGGCATTGCCATTAGTTGCCATGTCTCAAACCCATACTATGCAGACTCCCCTTCCTTCACCTCTTCTGTGTCTTTTTTTTCCCCCTTGGCTAGTTCTTTGTTGAAGAAACTGGGTTGTTTTGTCTGTAGAGCTTTCTGTAGTTTGGATTTTGATACGTGTATCTCCATTCTAGTGTTTAACATTTTCTTTTCCTTGCGTTTCCTGTGAATGAGAGCTAGTTCTAGAAGCCTATTCACATTTGGGTTACTTTGTCTTTTTTGCGGTATGTTTTAGTGTTAGGGATAGTGCACTTTCATCAAAAGGCATATAACCTAGATCCATGAATTCTTTAGGGCCTGCGAAATCATGCTTTTTGACTGTATCTTCATTTTTTTATTAATTGGATTGTTTTATAAAGAGAAACTTCTAATCACCTATTAGGTTATGCAGGGTGCATTCTGATTAAGAAAGGCAGAATAGATGTTCGATTTTCCCTTTTGATTACCGATCTTCAGAGTAATTAGTTGGGTTTGTGGCATCATCCAAAGATGACCAGTGAGTCATTTTGTTTTGGTTTAAATCATCATTATGAAGTCATGGCTTTGGAGCCGCTTGATTTGTTTGCAGTCCGTTTCAGTTGTAGCTCTTCTCCCTGATGGTCTAAGGGGCCGTTGCTGGGCGGCGGGAGCCTCCTCAGGCTGCCTCCCATCCCTCCTGGCATGATCCAGTAGTCTCTGAGAGCTCCCTTGCCATCTAGCATGACAAGGGGTCCGGGATCATCTTATCCGTACTTGGCCCCAGACCTAGAACCGGGAAGCTGTTTCTTGAAAGAAAAATGGCATCTGGGGGCGACGATCTGGGTGACTGCGCATTTAACAAAGGAAGATGCTGAAGCCATGTAAAGTAATGTATTTGCTCAAGAGGCTTTTAAAAATGGTACTAATTTCAGATCTCTAATCTACCTACCTTTTTTTTTAACCCTAATTTAAATATTTTACCTTAAGTAGCACATGAAATCTATTAAATAAAATTAATACAAGGGATTAAAAATATAAGTTGTTTCTGCTATTTATTTTAAAATTTCAGAATGCTATATTAAATATTTAAATCTTATAACTAGAGAACAGTAAATACACTTTTAGAATTAACAAAAGGAATAATTTACTTTGCTTTTGAAGAATGTTATCTTTATTACTTAAATTCAGAGTATCTGCCACATTTTGTCAGACAATGTATACTTTAAAATTGAGGTTCAAAATCTGTGCAAGAATTGCATTTAAAAATTTTGTTCAGACTACCCCCTGTTGGTAGTTTCTTGATCATGTAGTCTGTTTGATAATAAATCATTTAGCAGTTCTATGAACTGACATTTTCAAATAATATCTCTTCAACCTACCAAGATTCTGCACGAGTTTATATTTACCCAGAAATAATGCAAGTTCTTGCAGCCAGAGTTTTTTTGACCACCGCATTTTTACAGGATTCCTGTGGACAAGAAATTAATATATTTCATGGGGTATTTGTATCTCTAAAGTAGAACTTGCTTGCTGGAAACACTTTAAAAAGAAAGTATTTGCATAAATGTTATGTACATAGCTAGCAATGTTGAACATTTATTCCACTGTTGGAAGGTCTTTTTGCTTGAGTAAGAACTTTTCTGACTCTCTGCTCCGAGAAGATGTAAAATGACACAGAGTCTTGCACTCTGATGGCAGATGTTGCTCCTGGTGAAAATGATCGCTCATGTACACACTTAATACTCTGGTTTTGGTCCCCATAGTTTTGCTTCTCTCTTTGGATGTGTTACAAGCACTGGCTCTTTAATATTTATTGGACTGTTTCATTCTCTCACAGTTATTTATGGCAGTCAAATCATTTAGCTTGACTTAAAAGCCAGGTTTTCTTTTCTTTTTAGGAGGCACTGGCTACAATCAGGCTCCTTGATGTCCTGTGTGAGATGACTGCTAATACCGATTTGCTCAGCTATCTGCAGGTTTTTCCTGGTTTGCTGGAAAGAGTGATTGGTGAGTTTTTTATTAAGAAATCTTTGACTGGTCACTATAAGATAAGTCCAAATGCAGATCCTTTACTTTCATTGTATTGGTATATTTTTGAGATTTTTTTTTGGACTATTTCTTCTTGAGAGGAATCACGGTGTTTTGGTAAGAGCTCACTTACCTGCTGTTTAACTCAGGATGCCTGCTCGGTGGGTGAGGACAGCGGTGCTTCTAAAGCACAGGGCACATAGTGGATGTTTTATGGGTAGTAGTTGGGATGATGGGGGGTTCGGTGGTAATGATGGCAGTTTTTATATGACTATAGTTTTACCAAATTTGTTAGCGAATTTTTCCCTGTTATATTTGTGGGGCATGAAATATAGTACTTTACACATAATAATGATATATTCGACTCTTATAAGAAAACTTTTAAACAAGAAGCCATTGTTTGGGATATTACCATCTTTGCTGAAAAGCTGTTTGCAAAATAATTAAGGTAGAACCTGTTTCTTGTGTTTACACATGCCTATTATGGTGGTGTTATTCACTGTTTGCAATTTTGGTCTTTAAAAAAAGATTGTGCTTATTTTGGAGACCCATATGCTAGGGAAGATGGATGGTGAGGTGAACGTTATAATCACTACACTACGAAAATGGCACCAGAAAGCTGAATTGTATCCAGATGGGCGGATGCCTTGGCAGTGAGCTGTGGGACACTCTTAGGGTTTCATACCGGTGTTTTGTTTTGAATCACTGTGGGAAGAGCATGTGTTTGGAGCCGGAGCAGACACGGGTTGTCATCCCGCCTCTGCCAGATCGCTAACTTCTTTGAGCTGGATTTCTTCATTATAAAATTGGAAAAGGAATATCTGCCTTTAATAGGTTTGTTGGGGTAAATGAGATAATGTAGAAACATTTAAATTCAGCTCCTAGAAGACTGTCCATTGCATGGGATGCCTAGAGGCCTTTTGTAGAGCATAACAATGTAGAATTATTTCTTCTAAATATAGCCAAAATAGCCCCATGGAGAATGCACACTGCCTTCTGGTTACCTGGACAATGAGAAAACAGTCAACGTGCTTCTTGGTTTCTGCCATACGGCGCATTACAGATAGGCTGTTGCATTCAGACTTGGCTACTCTAGTTCCTTCATTAAGAAGTTGGAATTGGAAACATTTTTCCAAGAAAGATGGTGGAGAATCTTTAGCTAACTTTTCTTTGCGGGTAAGTAGAAAGTCCAAGCGAGGGCAATACCGTGGCTTACCTCCCCGAACTAGAGTCATGTGTTAATTTTTTAAGCAAAAGGACTTCTAATTATTATTTAAAGGGAGTTTTCAGCACTCTGCCTTTCTTGTTTTATTTCATCAAAATAAATTAGATCTGTTTGTGAAAACTAAGACAAAATACTGAGCATTTTCTATGGAAAATGAAGTCTATTCTTTTCTGTTACAGACCTTTTACGACTGATTCACGTAGCTGGCAATGACACCACAAATGTCTTCAGCACCTGTGGGTGCCTAAAAGGGGAAGGTGACGTCTCCAACATGGCCGAGGGGTTTAAGTCTCATCTCATTCGTCTGATTGGAAATCTGTGTTACAAGAATAAAGATAACCAAGACAAGGTAAGATTATTTCTCATTCATACATGATACATACATACGTGGCTTCATTTAGAATATAGTACTTAGAATTTAGAATGTGTTCACTTTTTTGGAATGAAAGCTTGAGGTGCTTAGAAAGCAGCTAAGATTTATGTGTATGTATATATTCCCCCCCAATAAGCACAAATTATCATATTTGTTTGTATTTTTGTGATTTTGCATTGCATTTGTCTTTAGTGTGTTTGAACCAGTCTCCTTAGTTATGAATTGCCAGTGCATTTAAATACACTCTTATGTCATCTAGAGAAATACTTGATAGAAACAGGCATTTAAAGAGCCTAGGAATGTTCAAAGACAGGGATAATTACTGACCTCTAGTTGTCATTGACCCTTATCTACACAAAAATAAATCTTAGATCTGTGCCTGTTTATGCAAGCAAATGCAAGCAGGGTCTACCCCACACTCACTCGGAATTCCCAGCCGATATGAATTCACGTATGTATCAGAAGCTTCTGCCACTGTTGTGTGTGAAGACAATACAGCTTGACTCAGACCCAAGTTGAATCTCTAAGCGATGCAGAAAAATGTTGGCAATAATATTCCATTTTGAGGCCTTTTTTTTATCAGACAGGTGTACTTAGCTTTGTAACACAAGCATTCCTAAAGAGTTGGTATACTGTAAATTCTATAAAGCAAATCTTGTTTTAACATTGATTTCCGTTATGTCAGAGACATTCTCCCAAATCTCTTGCCCTTCCTGCTTAGTTGTGATGACTGTGCAGAACAGGAAAGGGGGCAAGAGAGAGCCTCTGAGGCTGGCTGCCTTCCTGGAAAGGAAAGTCTAGCAAATGCAGAGCTTCAAGCCCCAGAACAGCTCTGATTCTCTCCTGTGAAATGACCCCAGGCCCATTCTAACTGGCACAACCCCAACTCCTCAGCTACTGTGAACTTGATGGTGAGGCAGAGAGGGGCAGCCATGGAGAGACACCACACTGAGGCCTGCTTCTACAGATGATCGGGAGCTGGGGGTAACTCAGTGGGCCTGAGGGTAAATCATAAGCATTTCTTCTAGGCATTTTAAAATGGACATAATATTTAAGTATTAAATCTTTGGAAACTCAGTAGACTGTCATTAGAAAACTCTTCTGTGCTGAAGCACTTAGAGGTCGTTATATCAATAATATGAGAGGATGATAAAGAGGGTGGTGGGAGAATTGGACCTCATGCTTCACATTTAACCAGCCTGCCTGAATCTTCCCAGAGTCGTCCTTTGGGTGGCATTTGTTTCGCTTCATCAGATATTGAATATACGTGTGTCGGATTATATTTTTCCAAGATGGCAGTGAAACCATCTTTCATTCCACATGTATTCCTACAAGGCCACTTCGCCACTCCTCCATCCAGGGTCGGCGTTTCATTTCTCTTCCTCTTGAATCTGGATGACTGCAGCACTGTGACTGCTTTGAATAATAAAATATGGTGGGAGTGATCCTCTGCCAGCTCGGGGAAGCCCCTGGCTAGTTTGGCAGGTTCCGTTTCTAGCCTTTTAGAATCTAGGCACCACGTAAGAAGTACAGATTCCCTGAGATCTCTGCGCTGTGAGTGGCCGTGTCCACATGGATAAACACTGGGGGATGAGACGCAATGAGGAGAGAAAAGACCAGTCGGGGAGTGTCACGCACCAGGTGTGTGCATGAGAAGCTGCCTTGGAGGTTCTTCAGGTAGTTGCTCGGTTCCTTAGTTCCAAGCTCCATGTCCCAGTTGCCCAGCAGATGCCAGATGAATCAGGGACAGCCTGCCCAGCAAAGCCCTTTCTGAATTTATGACCCACAACATTGGGAGGAGAAGTAAAATATTGGGCAAAAAAGTCGTGGAGGTTCTGCTTCTGTTAATGGTCTTGGAAGCTACTATTGGACCAATTCTCCTGCAAATAATTACAAACTCGGACAAGAGGCAGCAATGGGAAGACATTCAAATTTGACACAAGCAGGCAGATTTTGGAATCAAATCAATGCTTGGAGGAAGGGAACAGCATGGTGTGTGCCATGCAGGGCAAGGAAAACTCTGGAAGAAAATCTACAGTCCTAGTAGATTCAAGAATCAAAGAAGAGTTTGGAGCAATCACAGCCACTGGAAAGTGTCACAGGGAATCCTGGAAAGGAAATAGCAAGCCCCAAATTCTGTGTACCAGCCACTTAAACTCTTGCTGACGCCCAAATCACACATTCGACAGCCAGGCCCCAAGCAGCCAGGGTAATGATAAAGTAACTGGACTGAGATTTGAGCTGCCACCCTAGAGTCTACAGCTTAAGTTCAACCAAGATAATTGCCTGCTAAAACAAAAATAGCATTCTTTAGAGGAACATACTAGAATCCAGTGTTTCCACAGCATAGCATTCCCAGTGTCTAGGATACAATCCAAACTTAGTTGAAACACAGGAAAATATGACCCATTCCCTAGAGAAAAAAGATGCTGGAGACTGTGCAATGTCACAGCTCTCAGGTTTGGCCGAAAGAAAGGATTTTATAGCAACTCTGTGCAAGGATATAAAGGCAGATATCCTTTATATATGCTTCTAAAGAATGAAAAGATCGCATATCTCAGCAGAGAAATAGAAACTGTAATGAAGAACCAAATGGAAATCCTAGACTAAAAAGTACGGTATCCAAAATGAAATTTAAGTTGTACTGAATGAGCTTAACAACTCGATAGAGATGACAGAGTAAAGAGTCCTTGTACTCGGAGATAGAAAACACTGAACATAAACGGTCATCCTAAGATGGTAAATTCTGGGGTACTGTGCTCCGCAGCGTGGGCAGTGAGTGGTTCCTGCAGGATGTGTGAAGAACCCGATGCCGGGTACTTGCTCCATTACACATGTTGCATCGCCATTTTGATTTCTCCTCATCTTCATGCAGATATGAGTAGAAGACTGCTCATCCCTCTTGGAAAATGACTGGACTAATTTTTGTGAGAGAAAGCAACACTACCTTTTTAAAGGCCAAAGCTGCCTTTCTTGGGGAGCACAAAAGAGGTAGTTTCTCTTGTGTTGTTAATTGGGGTTGGCCTCTTACAGGAACAGAATGTAGTAACCCTTAAAAGGCTTATGAAGTCACTCGTTGAGGTCAGGGTCAGATTGCACCCTAGGTAAATGCGGAGCGTGCGAAGTGCTGCTGTGGGAGGTCACTGGGGCGCAGGAAGTCACCGGCTTGTTCCTTCACGTGTGCAGCTGCTAATAGCAGTGCTGACTTCTGAGCAAACACTCTCAACAGCATGAAGGAGCTCATTCTTTGAGTGTAAGAATGCCCCTCGTTCTCCTGCTTTCTACCTCTGCCAACAAAAGGCCTTACCTAAAAGCTTTACCTCTGAGATTTTTTTTCTCCTTCCAAAGAATCTGACCCAACCTCACAATCTTATTGTGGATGTGCTAGAAGCTTCTTTATTCTTGTAGGCACTGACTGCCACTGGGTGGGACAGATACTGCCTTGCTCACTGTTGCCTCACGGGACGGAGTTCACCAGCCCTCGGATGACTTTGGTGACACTTTGGAGAAATGGATGATGAGGTAGATGACTGTCACCTGGCTGTGCGTGCTCATTGTACCTTTTAGCTGGGCTGTCCCACTTCTCCCCAGATTGGGACCTGAAGGGAAATTTGGATCTAAGACTAAACATCTGAGTTAGACGGCTTTTGTGTCATCTAGCCTAGTTTTTAGTTTATTGTTCACCCAGAAGAAAAAAGGGACGGATGATTTGTTCAGTGTCTACTCCGTCCCAGCATTGTGCTTAGTGAATTACATGTTATCAGCTTTAATCTCTGTGTCAGCCCTGCAGAGCAGGTCTGCCAAGCACATTTTAGGGAGAGGCCATCCAGTTAGTGAGTTGCAGAGTCCAGAGTAGAACTGGATTTGACTGACTGTGAGCTCCTGGGCCTGGGCTCTCTCCCTGTGCCATGGTGCCTCTCCTTTGGGAGCCTTCCAGGGGTTTGGAGGAAGAGGTTTAACAATAGACTTCCTGAAGGACTTGAGACTGGATATTCTGGAGGCTGGTAAATGTGGGTCACTGAGGCTGGCCAGATCCCTTAGGCCTCCTGTTTGGTTCAAATCTGGGCACCCTTCTGGTGCCCACCTGTCTCTGATGCATCCATTCATCCAATGGGAGTGTTCCCAGCCCTGGTTGCAGGAAGCTCCTCCTCTGAAGCTTCTTCTCCAGTGACACCTAAGGACCATCCTTGCCTCTTTGAACTAGAGGCCCCAGATTATTGTCACATTTCTCCAGAGTTTTGTGCAGTACCTGATGGCCCTGAGGTTTGATCAGAAGACATTTAAGCCCACTGGGTCTCTGTGCTTGTCTGGTTCAACATCATTCTTTGCATTGAGCGTGGTGTCCACCTCCTGGGTGGCACCCGACAGTTGTGTGGCCCCTTCCCTCCTATAGCATTCTTTCCTCTGCATTAGTTCATTGGCACCTTATGACACCTCTGTGGGAAGGGCTAAAGGACAGTATCATCATTTTCTAAGTGAAGAAACCAAGACTCAGTGAGACTTAAGTATGATTTAATTCAGCTTGATGGGAACTGCCACGTGTCTCTTGCTCTGGAGAAAGTCACCTCAGCAGGTGTAGCTCTGGGAGTAAGGGGGTTCTCTGCCTGGGGCAAGTTCTCTATGAATGTGATGATACCAAAGGGGGATAAGGGGAAGGGCATGTTGGGAGAAAGGGTTTTTACTGCTCACAGCTTGCTAGGGTTTGCTAGCCAGACCCTGCTCTGTCTATCCCTGCTGGCCATGGTGCGCTTGCTTCCCCATCCGCCCCTTCTAGCAGGAATTCCATGGGTGGGTCCCTGGTGACAGGCGGGCACCAGACCAATTACACATGAGGAACAGAGGGAAGGAGAATGGCCACCACTGTCCACCCCCTACTCCCTATCCACCAGAGGCTTTGCCGTGGTAAATACCCATTGCTGTGCAAACAGGCCAAGGCCAGGTGGGAAATTCTGGGTGAAAACGTCCATTTACCCCAT